CTGCTCATTCATCACATATTTTGTACTTATGCACACCACTGCAATTGACATGCTTTGTTTTGCAGTCTTAAACTGTATGAGCACTCACTCCACTGAAAGATCCGGTGCTAGCGTAGTTGAGGGGGGGGGGCCACGCGGCGGCGCGGCGTCTGTTCGTCTGTGCTCTCCAAGGCTTAGTCCTGAGGGGCCACTGTATTTCGAAACTGCGTCGCGGCGGCGATGGAAACGGCCCCTCAGGACTAAGCCTTGGAGAGCACAGACGAACAGACGCCGCGCCACCGCGTAGCCCCCCTCAACTACGTTAGCACCAAAGATCCTTCACGCAGATACATGGATGAAAATTGTTTCGTTTTTCAGTCATTGGGCACATCGAACTAGTCGTGGATAAACTTGCTAATGGGAAACTTCCGTAACTCTTCAACGTCTGGTGCTTAACAAATAATGATGATGATTCAAGCAATTAATGGCCAAATTATGAGAACGACGAAAATACAAATCTAGCACTCCTTTCCGAGCTTTTCCTTGCACTGGATTGCCGGTGGGGCCGACAGGGCCGCTAGGGTATGAACCGCTCCTTCTTAATCCAGTCTTAAGACTGCCTACTCTTCTTTTCTATGCTCCCTTGTCTACTCTTTATTCCACCGCGGCAATCATGTCCTTGGGGGGGGGGGGCTTTCAAAATACAAAACAGGGCCGATGGTAGGTGAGACTAGGACTAAGCTCCAGCATAGAGGAGAAACGCCAGGGAGACGCAGATTGCTCACATGCTCCCCCAGAATCCCTTCCCTCCCTAGGGCTAGGTCCCAAGCACAGTGAAAGCTCACTCACTTGGATGTCCCCACCTCCCAAAGGGCATGGGCTTTGTGACATCCCCAATCTTTAATGTGTTCGTGCAAATTCTTGTGTCTTAAAGGGCGCTTCAACGCTAGCTGCAGTGAGCACTTTGAAGGACGAATTCACGATAAGAACGAAGGTTGGAATACAGGCGAACCTTCTAAGGGTGCTGACCAACGCGCAATTGGCAGCGAAAGATTTGACCTCGGCGCTCAGCATGGCGCGGTTGGCTGTACGCCCACCGACATCTAATCACTCGCCGCAGGTCTATACGTGGCGAGTGATTAGATAGCAGAGAGAGCGTAGTGTTGAAGAGGGCACAGCGATGAGAGTCGCATCAATGCGCAAATCAACGGGCAAGGAAGGGGTCCCATTTCTCGGGTTCTGGGCCGTTTTTCTCAGTTTTTTCTTCTTTCGTGCATCACTGACCATCTCTGACTTAATTTGAAATGGTCGCTTTTTCAACGTGAATCCTTTAAGTTTCAGTCAACAAGGTATGTCGTCAACACGTCAAGCTTAGTACACACCGTCTACTGTGGGTACGTAATTGAAGAATCCGCAGGAAGGATAAATTCGTATTGGTCATCTCGAGCTTGCCCAATTGTGGAATGGCAGAGCCCTCGAGATCGGTTTCTTAGAAGATAAGTGATTTCCTATTAGTCCAAAACGCTAAGTAAAAATGCGGTTTGAGGCAACGTTAGGAGTTGGAGATTGCACATGCGATTAGGAGATTGATCAATTAGCCGATGACTTAAAAAAAGCATACGTATCGATTGGCAAGTAAGGGGTTAGACGAGTATTCGAGAACTATCAGATACGTACTCGTGGTTAGCTCAGCCAACTCCACTGAGCGATTTCGTGATCGCAATTACGTCTGAAGGCTCTCAACGCTGCTTGATTGCACCTCAGCACGAAGGCCCATTCATAGTTCGCGACTCCGGAGATTAGGATAGTACGCGACAATGAAAAACATATGTATTGACGGGGAGATTAGGATAGTAGTAGAGTAGGAGATTGCGCTGACAAGATTAGATACGTATCGATTGAAATCGCTGGAGAGTAGTAGATTGCGATATTACGATAGTAGGATAGTAGTAGAGTAGGAGATTAGGATAGTAGTAGAGTAGGCGGGGCGCCCA